GAGTAGCTGGGATTACAGGCGCGTGCCACCATGTCCGGCTAATTTTTGTGTTTTTAGTAGAGACGGGGTTTCACCTTGTTGGCCAGGCTGGTCTCGAACTCCTGACGTCAAGTAATCCATTCGCCTCTGCCTCCCAAAGTGCTGGGATTACAGGCGTGAGCCACCACATCTGGCCAGTTAATGCTTTTTTTAAAAGCAACAACTGGTGACTTCACTTCTCACTAGCCTTAGCCCTCTGCGCCCCTGGGGCTGTCCCTAGGAAACTCTGAAGCTGAGCACAGGGTCACCTCTGTTTCTCCCGAAAGAACAGGAATGGAAAAGGAGAGGATTTCTATTCTGCTTTGTGGGCCGTCAGCATGAAATTACATACTACACTCAGGCAGGGTTTTGCAGTTCACATATTAACTTACATCGCTTTCACAGACAATCCCAGGGCTTTTTAATTAAATTGCTAAAATTAGTTTTTATGTGTTTATTTATTTCAGAGACAGGGTCTCTGTCGCCCAAGCTGGAGTGCAGGGGCCATCACAGCTCCGTGTAAACTCGAACTCCTGGGCTCAAGCGACTCAGCCTTCGGGATAGCTGGGACTATAGGTGCCCGACCCCACGGCCGGCTCAAGATTAGTTTTAATAGAAGGAATTTTCCCAGATCTAATCATCAGCTGACTTTGCTTTGCTGGGGCAAGAGTACAGTTCGGATACAGGTGAGCTGCTCCAGCCTCGCTAGCAGGTCTCCCCTGCAAAACCCGGAAAACAGAGGCGCTGGGACGTGCAGGCCACGCCCGACCACGCCCACCTGACCACGCCCTCGATTCACCACGCCCCGCCTGACCACGCCCTGCTCCGACCCCCTTCGCTGCGCGCGCAGTTTCCCACACACCCGGAAGCGGATCGCGTGGAGTGAAGGTCACGCCGGGGCGCGTGAGTTTCCCTTTGTCTACATTAAATCTGTGCTTCCCAGCTCCCCCGCGCTTCTGTACCCGGGATCTGAGGGGCCACACGGACCTTGAAACCCCCACACCGCTCCCTCTACCCCGACCAAATTCAGGCGTCTCCGTGACAGTCCGGCTTCCCTCTGTGTTTAACTATGTTGGCGGCGGGTCCTGTCTCCAGTCTTTCTGCCACAGGGCCACGTAGTCACCTCCTATCGCGGAGTTTTCCTGCCTCACGTCCTTCAGTGATGCCTACACCCGCTCTACACCGCGTAAAGTCCTCCCTCGAGAGGTGGATTCCGGTCTGTCCAGTCTCCCTAGCCTCGCCCTTGTCGGCCCCAGAGCGCAGCGCTCCAATCTCAATCCCGGAGAAGCGGCGACCTCTGCCGGGTTCTGGGATTCTGCAAACCCCACCCCACTGTTGATCCAGACCCTACCCTTACCTCCCTTGATCCGGGGCCCCGTTGCTCCCCAGGCCTCCTGTTCCCAGCCACCGCTTCTCCGGACGCTGGGTGTGGGGAGGTGACTTATTCTGTCTCCTGACATCCAGTGTTCTTGCGTCCCAAATAACACCCCACCGAAAAGGCATTCTTCTTGTGGGCACCGGATCCCAATCCCTTCCATGTGAGTGGGCGCCGAAAGAGTGATGGAGAGCGAGGGAGGAGAAAGGGAAATATTTTGAAAGAGAAAAGAAGATTGAGGGAGAGCCATAAGTGGACAGCAAAGTAGAGAGTGGATAAAGGATTTGTAGAGACGGAGAATGAGGCCGAGAATGTAGCAGGAGGAGAAAAGCAACTAGAGAAATGCAGAGAAAAGTTCCATCTCCGGAGACATGAAGGACAGCAAGATAGTGAGAGGGGCAGCAAAGTGGGAGGTTCTTCAAACTGAGAGTGGGGGAGAGAGGAGGAGGAATTTGGAGCCAGGGCAGTCAGAGCAGCGTGGTGCTGGGACAGAAAGAGGGGTCAGCTGGTGACAAGGAGAGCAGAGGGAGAACCACAGCAGGGTGAGGCCTGGGATCTCGGGGTGCCAGAGAGTGGGGAAAAGGGGGTGTAACAGGGAAGAAGGGATTTAACAGGGGGAGCAGAGGGGGACCAGAGACAGGGAAAGAGGCAGAACCGGGCATGGTGGCTCACACCTGTAATCTCAGCACTTTGGGAGGCCAAGGCAGGTGGATCACCTGAGGTCAGGAGTTCGAGACCAGCCTGGTCAACATGGAGAAACCCTGTCTCTACTAAAAATACAAAAATTAGCCGGGCGTGGTTATGAGTGCCTGTAATCCCAGCTACTTGGGAGGCTGAGGCAGGAGAATCGCTTGAACTTGGGAGGCGGAGGTTGCAGTGAGCCAGTTGCGCTATTGCACTCCAGCATGGGCGACAAGAGCATAAATCCTTCTCAAAAAAAAAAGAGCAGAAATAGGTGGAGATTGGGACAATCAAAGATTGGGCAGAGAGTTAGGAAAAGGGGTGAAACAAGTTGCCAGAATGGAGCAGGTGGAAGAGAAGTAATAGAAGGAAGAAGGGGAGAACCATCAGGAGAAGACAGAGGCTCAAGATGAGCAGAATCCTAGGGGGAAAGAAAGGGAAAAAAAGCTAGAAAAAGAGGGTGAGAATGAGAGATATGTACAGAGTGAGGGAGGGAAACACATGCTACTGAGGAAAGAGGGGACCCTGGGTGCAGATGAATGGTGAATTGATTGGATGTTATGATTAAGTTGTGACATTGATTTCTCTATTTATAATATGAAATTTGCTTTAAAAATACAGATGAAGATGAGATGTACAAAACTCCTGTCTGTGAGGCTGGTGTATTTTATAATTCTTGGCATCAGAGTTTAGCGTCCACTCACATTCCCTGTTAAGGCACAGTTCAGTGACTTGAGTAATTCATTGTGGGTCACCCGCCTTCCTTTCCTGGGACAGCGAGTTTATAAGATAGCAGGCAAACCAAAGTGTTTTTCCTACTCTTGGAATCAACGCAATAGTGAACACTCGACACAGAATGCCTCATGTCTGATGAACAAAATGTGTGGGGATTACTTCCCACCAACAAGCAATTCATCAGACACCACTTGGGTGTTCTGTAGTTTCACTCAAGATGACACTGTCTACGTGGAGTTAGCCTCAGATCCCACAGGTTCGGGGCTTAGTTCTACAAGGCTGCCCCCACTTCACATGCCAGTTGTAAGTTCAGGTTGGGACCTGAACTTCAACCGAACATTGAAAAATTGAAGATTCCCTTGACCCTTTCCTCAGATTTTATTAATTTGCTAGCTTGGTTTACAGAACTCAAGGAAAGATTTTGCTTAGTTTTACCCATTTGCTATGAACCTGGGATCCACAGAGGGGAGGGAGGCTGCGCTCTGCATGGGTTTTGATCAGGGCTGAGTCTGTGTCCTGAATGGGGCAGCTCAGTCCAGCCCAGCTCCCCACAGCTGCAGCATGTGTGTGGGCTTCCAGGAGGGGAGTAAGTTCTAAAGAAAGGGGCCAGAAACTGACTTGCTCTTCCTAGAGGAGTTTCCTGTCCCTGCATCAACTCTGGGTGCAGTGGGCAGCGGAGGACATCTTTCCACAGGGTGCGGTCTGACCTGTGTGTGTGGTTGTGGCACAGGAAGGGGAATGTGTTGATTCTGAGCAGTAATCAGCATATTTTAAACATTTAGGACTGACTGCTGAAGTGTCATGCTGTGTGATAAAAAAGCCCAGAAGAGAAGGAAGAGGAAAGCAAAGGAGTCAGGGATGGCTCTTCCTCAGGTAAAGTGATATTCTCAGTAGACTGTTCTATCTCCTTCCTTTCTGAAATGCCAGGCATTGGATTTGTGAGTTTTTTTCTGCATCTGAAGCGTCCTGCCTGACACATTTGCTGGCTCTCACCCATGCCTTCCCTCAGTCCCTCTCATCTCACTTAGGTTCCATCTCCCGTGACCCAGTGACATGAACTTGGGAAGAGGCTGCACTGGGCATGGTCCTGGGAAGGGCTCACCCCAGACGTGGATGGAGACGGGGTGTGGGCCCCGTGGTGTCAGGGCTGCTGGGCAGCAGGGATTGTTCAGGGGCCACTTCTGGATGCACCGTCAGCTCTGTGTAGACCAGAAGCTGCATGTGGAAGTCATGTATTGTGCACAAGCACCTAGTAAATTCTAGGAAAGGAGTTGAGGAAGGAGAAACCTTTTCTGCCTGATTATTTTTTTTTGGTGGTGGGGGACCAAGTCTCGCTCTGTCATCCAGGCTGGAGTGCAATGGCATGATAGCTTGCTGCAACCTCTGACTCTTGGGTTCAAGCGACTCTTGTGCCTCACTTTCCCAAGTAGCTGGGATTACAGGCACCCGCCACCACACTTGGCTACTTATTGTATTTTTAGTAGAGATGGAAGTTTCACCATGTTGGCCAGGATGATCTTGAACTCCTGACCTCAGGTGATCCACCTGCCTCGGCCTCCCAAAGTGCTGAGATTACAGTGTGAGCCACCGCGTCCAGCCTTCCTGCCTGATTTTTACTACATTTGAAGTTAAATGCCTTTCCCAGTTTTTATGTCTAGCTTGGTTCAAGAGGACGTTTTCTCAGCATCCTCACCACATGTCTCTCACGGACACTGATTTTCCTTCAGGGAGTCCCCTGCAGCAGCTGTGTTGGGCAAAAAATATGATTTTGCTCAGAAATTGGAGCAGATTTTTCTTGTCATTAGAGAGGAGGAAATCATATTCTTGTCCACCAATTATTATTATCATTTTTTAACATCAGATTATGTATAAATTTGTCTTATAGGAAAACTCCAAATGTACAGGTTAGGCCATCAAATGCAAAGCATGCCCTGTCCTAAATGTCTAAATGACATGTATGTAGTTGTTACGGAGGGCAGCCTTCCACTCTCCCCTAGTCTCACTGGGGACCCACTGCTGTCAGCTCTGTCAAGAGTGAGAGCAAGGGCCGGGCGCGGTGGCTCACACCTGTAATCCCAGCACTTTGGGAGGCCAAGGTGGGGAAATTGGGAGTTTGAGACCAGCCTGACCAACATGGAGAGGCCCCGTCTCTACTAAAAATACAAAATCAGCTGGGGCATGGTAGTGGGCGCCGGTAATCCCAGCTGCTTGGGAGGCTGAGGCAAGAGAATCGCTTGAATCCGGGAGGCGGCAGTTGAGGTGGGCTGAGATCTCACCATTGCACTCCAGCCTGGGCAACAAGAGCAAAACTCCATCTCAAAACAAACAAACAAAAAAGAGTAAGTCCTGTAGAGATACATTTATACAGCATTATGGTATTTTAAGTAAAATTCTCAGTGATTGTTTTGTGATACTTTGTTCTGTACGTAGTGAAAATTTGCTCCTTTACACCCTCATGTGAAGGTTCTCTGAATTAAAAATTGGTCACCTCTCTGTTTTTAGTGTCTGGCCTGGTTTAGGGAGGACATGCTTTTCTGTCCAGCTGGAGACTTGGGAGGTCCCGAACCTTGTCTGGGATGGGTCCTCCCAGGGCTTTGCTTGTCACTTCCTCACTGAAGCGGGTGGCCAGGCTCTGCTCGGGAGCTCCCCTTTCTGTACCTGCTCTGCGGCCTGCGTGGGGCCATAGGAAAGCTGTATGCCCATGTTACTGTGTGCCCTCGTTCATGCTGGTGTCTTTGTTTTCAGTGGCCTCCTGACCTGGGGCCCTGTTACTTCTATGCTTATGTTCAATCAAGACAGAAACTTGTTCCTCAGGCAGTCCCCTGAAAAGTCAGAAGGTTGGATAGACATTCCTATTGTTTTCCTCTCTCGGGAGAAATGAGGAGTTTGCGGTATCCTCTGGATGATGGCATGTCACGCCAGGCAGAGGCTCTGGCGAGCAGGTGTCACACTTTTTCCCACTGGTCTCCCAGCAGGTTCACTTAGTACTGCTGCATCTCTGGGTGCAGCCTCCTGAGTGGCCTCTGGATTTTTCACAAAGGCAATTGGCCCATGTATTCTTGTTTAATTTGTGTCTACAGGGATTCAAAGTGGTCTGGGGCTTTCTATTCTTCTGTCTTGCTGACATTACTATTTTAGTAGAGTTGCAGATTT